CAGAGAGTACAATAAAGCTTCAGGACATCATTCAGAGCCCATGTACTGGGCAGGCAAGGCCTGGGAACTATACCCTTCCGGCAAGGGGACAAATCCAGCGTAAAAGAGAGGAGAGTTATGGTAAAGGGAGAAGTGAGGAATTGGGAGGAGGACAGCCAAAGGTCCAGAGCACTGGAGTTGGGAGTGCAGGGAGTATGGACAAAGTGTCATCTTTCTGAAAGAAGATGAACATCTACTGTACAGGCTCTGTGGAAAGAGGGGCCCTATGGCACATATCCTCTCTGGGTACAGAGGATAACCCTCCTAAGAGAGGTACAGATGGCACCTTGACAAGGTCTAGATGACACTGGCGGACATGCTGGAGAAAGAGAGATGGAAGGAACGGCAAGCTCAAGGAGGATCTACAAACACAGTTTAGTTTCTCAAGGTCAGGGAAAAACAGGGATTCTATGGCTCCATCGTGGGACTTGAGAGTTGGCCTTGGATGAAAAGCTGCAGTTTCCTGAAGTTGTACAAACAAGCCCTTAGGCTACATGCGATGATGTGGTCCCCAGAGGCAAGGATGATCATCCTCATTGAGCTGATGGAAGGAAGGATGTGAGGAGTGCTTTGAGAAGAAAAAGCGACAAAGACGAAGATCTGATACAAGACTGCAGAGGGAAAGCGTGTCTGCCACGGTTGCTCATAGTGGAAGTTGAATACAGAGGATTTCCTGCACAATCAGTGTGGAGATACAACACATATGAATATTGACTAAGCAGGTTGAGGGTAAAAAAAGACAGTAGGGAGAACAGAGGAAGACAGAAGGAGAGAGCTCCTTGTCCGTATCATCTTGAAAGACCAGACTGGAGTTAGCGATTTCAACCCTGTTAAGAGAGCTTGCTATCCTGCTCTTGTTAGGAACTTTGATTTCCTGTGTAAGGAATCCTTTGTTTAAAAACAGCCTCTCCCGGTTATCGCATTTTTAGAATAGTGAGATAGGTTCCCATTGATTTTGTAGCAGTTGGGCTTACAGAGATGGAGATTTAACTGTAGGTCCTATTCTGTTTGGTTTAGAAGGCAGCTCTCTCTCTTATTTTGGCCTCTGTAGGCATTCTGTTAGAGGATTTGAATACTTGGTATCAGTCTCATAACAGGTTCTTGTTTGTAGTCTTTCTGACGTTCTTATGATTAAGACCAGGTTCCAACAGGATCAGGTTCAGACTATAGGGAGAGTTAGGAAGCAGGTTAGGATTAGATTTATGACTGTGTTGATTTCAGCAGTCACGGGATGAGGTTGGGTTCAAGCCAGGAAGCCTTTCCCATGCTTTATGTCTTACTTACTCCATAGCAGTCCCGGAAGTGAGACAGGGACGTCCAGCCCCC